GTAAGGCTGCCTACATCGACCTAACTCTGTAAGCATCTACACTAAAACATAGCTTCCACCAATATAACTCTCCCACTTCACCAACTGAATAATTCCACTTCTGCAAGAGACATAGCACTTAAGTCTACACTGGGGGGGGGGGGGATCGATCCAAGATACGCAACTTCAAGTCGAAGTATCTTGGATCGAATTACCTGGGGTCCACACGGCGCGGGATCGACGGCCGAGGCTCCCCCGTCGACTGCGCTACCGCCGCTCGCTCTGGTGGAGTTCCAGAGTCGACGGTGAGCGCGTTCGGGGATCGATATATCGCGTCTTAACGAGACACGATATATCGATCCCGGATAAATCAATTGCTACCCGCCGATACGGCGGGTAGTGAAGACGTACCCATACTGAAGTTGACACAGTGTCAGCACAGAGACTGCGTTACTTACATCGCCTGTTGCTGCCTTTCAGCAACCATTCCACAGTGCCTCACACTGGCAGTTAAATCTCCTGGTTAGGGTGCACACTGCTGACACAAGGAGTATAGTGTGGACATGTAAAACCGATTCAATGCTGCAGTGGCTCTATGTCAACGTAATTTAGGTCAACTTAATTTTGTAGTGTAGACTTGCCCACAGACTTCTTCTGAAATAGCAGGTATGAAATAGAAATGAGTTTGGTGCATGTTTGTGTAGAGACCAGCCCTTACTTGGGCTTCAAAGTTCCAGCCCCAGACAGGTACTTGGGAAAGGGGTCAGCTGGAGACAGCTTTTCAGTGGTGGTTCCAGAAGCACATCAGTTTGCATTGCATGTTTCTTCATAGCAGGAAAACACACTCAGCTCTAAAATGTTCTTAACAAAATGACCAGGCAACATTGCAGCCAGGATCTGCCGTGATTTCCACAGCCGGAATTTTCTTGTCTCTGACATTAAAGCTTTTTGGGTGAGTTTTGGGAGGGGTTGCCAGTGAAACAATTAGCTTCTCATTTGCGAAGTGTCCTGGAGCCTTCACCCTTGAGTGTTAGGCTTGGCAAAGAGACTATACCGGGATTTCAGTAGGCTCTGCTGAATATCTTAGGCCATCTTTACTGTAGGGATTTCTGCTGTCTGCAGCCAGCCCTTGAATTGGGGCTTGTGCTTATGCACATCCCTAGCACAGACACAGCCTTAGTAATTGACCATAGAGCACATGGAGCGATTTTTCGTTCCCTTAACATTTTTTGCCCAAACCATGCAAAGCAGTGAAAGTTGATGCCAGCTTTCCTACCATAGTCAGTTGTAATATAAATAACCCTGTTCAAAAAAGGCAGGATAAGGTTTGTCATGCTGGGAAGGACTGTTTTACCCCTCACCCATGACTCAGACTGCTTGAAGAATTATATTCAAACTTTAAACCTGTGGGGAGGGTGGGTTTTATTAATGGGATGGTTTTAAACCAGCAGCATTGTAGATATGTTATACTGATTGTTAAACCTGGCTCATACTGACAAATATACAGAGAGAACCAGTTTTAAACGAAGCCATATCTACACTACCACGTATGCCAGCAAAAGTTATGTCACTCGGGGTATGAAAATACACACCCCTGAGTAACATAAGTTTTGCTGGCATACGTGGTAGTGTGCACAACACTATGTCGGCAGGAGAGCTGCTACTGCCCGCTCCTTGAGATGGTTTTCTGATGTCAATGGGAGAGCTCTCTCCTGCCAGCATAGAGCGGCTACATGAGCAGCAATCTTACAGTGGCGCAGCAGCATTGATACAGCTGTGCCAGTGTAAGCTCGCTAATGTAGACATGGCCTAATAACATGTCCAGCCAGGGGTTTGAACCGGCTTAACTAAATCTGTTTTCTAAAGTGCTTTATGCTAAACTGATGCAACTTCTATGTAGGCAGGGCCCAAGCCTGAGAGATTTTATCCTGAAACGTGTATGTCTGGCAAATTCGGCGCATGTTAACATGGGAACTGTCTTGCAACCTTAATTAGAGCTCTGCATGCTTTGTTGGTTCTGTAGGCCAAGCTTATAGCACACCCCAGGGCTCCTGTATCCCTCCATTCCCACCCTCCACAAACTCCCTGGGTGCCACCTTCCCATCCCCCTCTGTTTCAGAGACTCCCTGCAGCCCTCCCATGCCTTCCCTCATGCCAGGCCATCTCTGTCTTCCATTTCCCACATGCACACATGTCAGGGGTTGACCCCTATGCACACACCAGGATCCCCCACTCTCCCACCACCACCACCACCAGGGGTTCTGTGTCTCCCTTTCCCCCATGCCTGAGGCTCTGTCTGCACCTCCCCCCATTCTTATTCTTTCTCCTTTTCTCTTTCAGAAGGTAAGTATTTTTAAACTCTTGGGAGGGTGGGCTGGTTGGAAATAAAGGGTTTTGTGCTTAAGCTGCTAGCTTTGCTAACCAGATACCATGGGCACCATGTGCCATTTCTCCCCTTTTGGCTTTCTGATTTTCACCAAAATCACTAGGCTTCTGCCCACTGATGCTTAGAACATGCCTTGAAATTTTGGAATTGATCAGATGTGGCATTTAAAAGTTACTGCGTTGCATCCGGAGAAATGCCATTAAATGGAGTGTGATAATATCTTGTATTGCACCAACTTCTGGTGGTGAGAGACAGCAAGCTTTTGAGCCACACCCTCAGGTCTGGGAAAGGTGTCACAGCTAAATACAAGGTGTAACAGATTGTTTAGCATAGGCAGTTAGCGTATATTGTAAGGGACCAGTCAAGGTGGAATGACCTTGTCATAGGACAAAAAGAGGTGGGGTTGGTGGTGTTCCTCATCCACTGCACTGAATACCCCAGTAACTGTGGGTGAAACCAGACAATTACTGCGCTGTCAAATGAATTTGCACAGGAAAATGATAAAAGACAAAAATATCATCACCGGTGGGTGAACACGTCTCACAGAGTGATCACTCTGTCTGACCTCTCAGTCCTCATCCTCAAAGGAAACCTGCACAATACTTTCAAAAGATGAGCCTGGGAGCTTAAATTCATAACTCCGCTACACAGACACTATGGCTGGCTACACTGCGCACCTTACAATGGCACAGCTGTGCTGCTACAGCTGCACCATTGTAAGGTTCATGGGGCGGTAGCTTTATCACCTGGACAGTGTTTCCTGCCAACGAAGCGCTGTCCACACCAGCGCTTTTGTTGGTGCAACTTATGTCAGTTGGGGGCAGCAGGGGCTTCAAACCTCTGACAGACAAAAGTGCTAGTATAGACAGAACCTAAAAATCATGGACTGAACAGAGACACTGGACACTAACATCCCCCCCACCCTTTTTTTGTCCTATGACTGCAGAGGTGTTAACAGGCCACTCCACCTTGAATGGTCCCTTGGAATATGTGCTATCTATTCTAAACAATCCGTTTCACCTTGCATTTAGTTGTGAGGCTGGAAATATGTTTCCCAGACCTGAAGAAGAGCTCTGTGTGGCTCCAAAGCTTCTCTTTCACCCACAGAAATTGGTCCAATAAAAGAACAAGGAGTACTTGTGGCACCTTAGAGACTAGCAAAGTACTCCTCGTTCTTTTTGCTGATACAGATTAACACGGCTACCACTCTGAATCCAATAAAAGACATTCCCTCCCCCACCTTGTCTCTCTAATACCCGGGGACCAGCATGGCTATGACAACGCTGCATACATTAAATGGAATGTAAGGCCTCACAAGCTCCACCAACTCAATTGGGTGTTGCCTAGATCCCTGATCATGATTTGCTTTTTTATATATAATGCCTGTTGCCATGGCTCTGCCACCACTTTGCATATTTAAGTCTGCCAGTGCCTTTGGATGTAGGTAAGTATTAGAGCAGCCTGAAAGATGGGGTGCAAAGGCCCAGCAATTAGGTGACTTACCCAGGATCACACACCAAGTCAGAGGCAGAAGTGGGAATAAAACTCAAGTGCCCTAAATCTGTCCTTCAGATACGGGGCACGACAACTTCTTATACTCCACAGTCCCTGATGTTTTTGTCTACTACATAGCCTTCCAAGGTGTGCTGGTATCCATTGTTCTCTGGGTATAAGAGCCTTCTCCTCTGCATCTCTTCCCATCTGGAACAGCATTCCCACATCTCTACCTCCAGACGCCTCACATCTGAGGCCTCATATGAAAGCATCTCATCTCCATGCCTCTTAATTTCTCTCTCCCTCAGCTGTTGTGCTAATTCCTTAGAGAGCTTTGGGAACAGGCTACATGTTGTAACACCACATTGCTCTTGCTGTACATGGTGGAGCCTTCTGTCGAAGAGTCTCAAAGCTCTTTACAAACGTGAAGATGGGGTGGGGACTCCACAGGGCTTCCCTGGTGGAGTTTCCTCCTAATTCCTCCGTTAGGAGAGGGTGATTTGCCCCCCACTCATGCACACGCTGTAGATTAAAGCAAGGGGTTGGCTCCCAAACCGTGTGGACACCACCTTGTCCTAGTGGTAAAGGACCATCCATATAACCCTCCTGTGCGTTTTCACTGCCTCCTGCCCCCTTTTAAGAGAAGTTCCCAACTGAGAGGGGCTCCAACAAGTATGTTACCTTTGTGTGGATTCCCTGCCAGGGTTGAGGGAACGATGCATGTTCCTCCAACCTTCCCCTCTTGTCCTGGCCTGACCCCCTTACTACACAAGAATCCCAGCTCCTGCAGAGAGCTCTAGGAGGGCTGTGGAGGTGGCTGGCCATCTCCCTTCTCCAGTGGAGTTGAGATCTGCATACAGTGTGTTTCCTGTAATGAGTTGGGGGAACAATCTGGCCCTAAATGACTCTGCTTCCCAAACCACCAGTGAGATCAGTAAATGGAACAGTAACTTCATTTGACAGATGGGGAAACAAGTTAGATGAGTGGCCCTGGGGGTGCCGTGAAACAGAGGGAGGAAGAGACCATAGCCTAAGCACAAGACTGGGCTCTGCCAAGAGAGACACTGCACTGCGCGGTGTTCGCCAGCAGGAGAACCCAGATGACAAACACAGACAAACAGTTTGACTCATTCTCTTTAAGGTGATTCCGATGACGCAGCTCCCTCTAGTTCCAGTGTCCTTTCCTCTACCCCGCCTTCTGTGTCTCCTGCTGTGAAGGAAGCTTCCCCCACCCCACCTTCCTCGCCGTCTGTCACGGGCAGCTTCTCTTCCTCCAGGTAAAGCACCTTCCGCCTCTTTTCTCTCCGTGTATTACCCAAAATACAGTAGAAATGAAATCTCTTTGTAAGGAACACTGCAGCCCTCCTTCCCCCACATGCAACTCCCATCTCCCCAGTCCTCTGTCATCCCTTTAAATTCTTTTAGCCTAGGCCTTGTGGAGATTAACCCTGTTTCACTTCAGAGGAATTAACTCGTGGATACTGGGAGGGATCAGGAACTGATGGGAGGGTCATTGGGGCTTCATGAGGGTAAGGCTGGATTTTGTTTGCTGCATTTGGCTGGGAGGGGATCAAGCCGTTTGGCAGAGTGCTTGCCTGCATACATTCATCTGCAGCACTCTCTGAGGATACTCGTCTGCAGCTTTACCTCAGGTTCTGTTAGTGTCCTCAAATGGGAGTCTTGTCTTGGAGGTCTCCAGTTGGCCTGGAGACCTAATACTTCATGTCTTGGAGAACGTGTAGAAAGCAGGTATTTCTCCAAGCCTCCTGGTCTACTGCCTTTGGATTTTAGTAAAGCATTTGATAACTTCAATCTTAATTCAAGAATAATCCATGTGATCGTAACTACCGGAGCAAGGGCCATCACAAAGGATAACAGGACACCCCTGGGATCCATGTTAGGGTCTGGCCTTATTAATGTCCTGGATGGAGACGCTCCCTGTATTCGTACAGCACCTTGCACAGTCAAGCCTCTTTCTGATTGGGTCCTTGAGGTGCTGCACAATACGAAGAAATAACAATGGTCTAGAAGGAAGGAGTAAGGAGCATGTTAATGAAATTTGCAGATGACACTAAATCTGGGAGGAGCTGTGAAGACCAGTCAAATAAATAAGAGGGACAAAGGGAGATTAGAAACATGAGGAGATTAAACTTGGTTTGAAAAATGGCAGCTAACAAAACTAGGAGCCAAATAATCCAGAATACTCTGTGGGAGAGAGGAAATTGGGCGGCAGTAAATGCAGAAGGACCTGGGGCACGTTAATGGAGACTAAATTAAATGAGCTTTGTAGTGCAATAGGGCAGCAAAAAGCCAATGTAATTTTGGGCTGGATACACAGATCTCATCCTGAGCTGGGATGTAATAGACCCACTCAGTACAGCTGTGATGCAGCTGTGGCATCAGTCAGTTCTGCCTACTTCAGTACTAAAGATATGGAAAAAGTTGAGAGAAGAACAACACAAATTTGAGTTATCAATAACTCAGAACCATAGGATTTTGGGATGCCAGGGAAATTCCACAAGTCTGGAAGAGTGCTAATGTTGTCAATATTCAAAACGGGCAAACGAGATGACCCAGATAACTATAGGTTGATTAGGCTGACATTAGTCCCAGGCAAAATAATAGAAAAGTTGATGTGCGAATCAATTGATAAAGAATTAGAGGACAGGAATGTAATTAATCCTAGTCAATGTGGCTTTATGGAAAAAAGGTCTTGTCAGACAAACCTGATTTCGTTCTTTGAGAGTATAGGGCTGGTTGATACAAATAACTGCAAAGATTTAATATACTTGGACTTTGGTAAGGCATTTGAGTTAGTACTACATGACATTCCAATTAACGAAATAGCACTATACAATATCAATAGAGCACATGTTAAAGGGATTGGGAACTGGCTGACAGATGTAAATGAGAATCTTCATCAAATGAGGCTGTTTCTAGTGGTGTTCCCCTGGGATCGGTAGCAGGCCCAACACTATTCAGTACACCTCTACCCCGATATAACACGAATTCGGATATAACATGGTAAAGCAGTGCTCCGGGGGGGCCCTGCACACTCCAGTGGATCAAAGCAAGTTCGATATAACACGGTTTCACCTATAACGTGGTAAGATTTTTTGACTCCCGAGGACAGCATTATATCGAGGTAGAGGTATATTTTAATCAGTGACCTGGAAGTAAATATAAAATCACAGCTGATAAACCTTGCAGATAGCACAAAGATTGGCGGAATAGCAGAGAACGGGGCAGTGATACAGAGCAATTGGGATTGCTCTGTAAACTGGCCCCTCAAACAAAAAGTTATTTTAAAACAGCCAAATGCAAAGTTCTACATCGAGGTACAAGGAATAGAGGCCATAACTGTAGGGAGGACGGCATCCTGGAAAGCAGTGACCCTGAAAAAGATCTAGGGGGTCATGGTGGATGAGCAACTTCACATGACCTCATGTGACGCTGTAGCAAAAATGGCTAATCCAATCCTTGGATGTATAAAGAGGCATAGTGAATAGCAGTAGTGAGGTCATTTTACCTCTGTATACGGCAATGGTGAGACCAGTGCTGGAATACTGCATGTCCATATTTTTAAAACAATTAACAAATTGAACCACAAAAATGATTTGACAGCTAATGAAAATGCTAAGGGCAGATGTGGTGCTTCTGCTACTGATTATGGGGAGTCTCAGTGACTATGGGCAGAATTTAGCCCTAAAAGCTTATTTTGTGTGTGTGTGTGTTCTGCTGCTTATGCACAATGGTGTTAAGTGCATTAAAAGTTACCAACTAAACATCATCTTCAAAAGTGCCAAAATGACACAGGAGCGCAAATCTCATTGAAAGTCCATGGGATTTATCATTTACCTCCCTTCACTGACATTGCTTGGGAGGGGAAGCAAGCAGTAGGACAAGTCCACCTCCTCATCCAGGCTGTTTGACTTGTAAGCTCTGAGCTGTAGCATGGCAAGTGAAGGAGGAGGCTGCCAGGAGATGAACAGGCAGAAAAGCAGGGAGGAGGAGAAGCATCTGTTGATGGCTTGCTCAGGTTTGGGGTTCAGTGTGAGTTATGGGAAGGTAGTAGGGATGGGGTGTAGGCGTGTGGTTTGAATATGACTTCAGATTCAAGAGGTGTCTTCCCCAGCGCTGGGATCATTTCAGTGCAATAGCCTATCTGTGCCTCCCCCGGTAGAATGATATTGGCTTGAGTGCAGGGCTCCCTGCTTCAGAAGCTTGTCTCTCCCGTTTCATTTTTGCCAGGTGCACATTAACTATGGAGGTGTCTCTTTAGAAGGCCATGTTTGTGTTGCTTTCTGTTTCTTCGCTCGCCAGTGGAGACAGTGGGCGTTTCCTCTGGTGGCAGGCAGTTGGTGAAGGACCAGTCAGGACCGGAGGAGATGGCACCAATATTTTCATAAGGGGGAGGCCTTGCTAGGCATCTTGAGCTGTATTCAGGCCCATCATGCAGAGGAGCTGGTCCCCTCGGCTCCCATTGACTCCAGTGGAATTTTTCAGGGCTCAGCATTTCTGAAAGTTAGGCCAGTGTCATTCACTATCTAAATCTCCACTTGGCTTCCTTGATGCTTCCAAACTTGAAAGCTTTGGCCTTTGTCTCTGTGTTCCCCAGCCCCTTCTTCCTCTCCCAGGAGAAGATGGCAAGAGCCTCGTGCTGAGGCGCCATCTCTTGTCTCAGCCACAGCTCCTGTGGCTGTCAGCACAGATGAAGTGAGCTCTCATACCCCTCTGTGGGGAAGGAAGTGGAGGAGGTCCTCTGCAGGGCTCCCTCCATTCCAGACCTGAATTCTGAGTCACCTCACTTTAGCACTGTCTCTCTAGAATCTGCTCTAGGCCTGATCCCACGAGAGATGGCAGAGAGCTCTCTCAGGACCCCTGCCTCCTCGTGCTGGGGCCATCGCCTGTATTCCCAGATGCTCCTCTCCCTTCTCTCCTCCCAAGCAGCTTCCAAAGAGGCCCCCTCTTCCTCAGTCCTTCTTTGTCTCACCACCAAAGACAATTCTCCCTGTGTGACTAGTGCCTGAGGCCCTGCCCCTCGTTCCCCTTCCTCTTTGGAAGCCTTGTGTCTGCTACGCAAGGAGTGTTTCTCTCACCTCTGGTATGCCCCAACCTCAGGGTCCATGAAGGAGGAGAATGCAGGTTACTCATGTGTAAGTGAGGCCCCTAAGACAAGACCACCCTGGTCCACTCTTTTAATGCTGCACCTGCAATGTGCTACTCCAGCTATAACTGCACCTTGCCCTAAACACTGCTGGGGGCTGAGCCTAGGGAGCCAGATCCTGGCAAGGTACTATGGTCCCCATGAGTCTCATGCTGAATTAGACTGAGACTTCTAGTTTTAGGATACTCCTTGGAGAGGGGAAGATAGTAGTGCTTGTCGGCACAACGAGTTACTGCGCCAGGGTGTGAACCTACCTGCACCCTGGGACACTCAGTACGTTGTAGCCATGTCCACATGGGAGGTTACTGCATGACAGGCTGATGCACTGTACACTCTCACCCTGGCTTGCCGTGCAGTCGCTTTCTTTGGATAAGCCAGCTGAGGGCCTATACAGTGAGAGAAGTCAGGCACTGCTATAGGGCTAGTCTGACTCTCCATAGAGGATCTTGAACTAGAAGCGACCACCAGGGAGTTTAAAGAGAAGTCGTATTTTTAATCTGCTGCTACATGCATCTGATAGGGAGCTTGGTATCTTGGCTGGATCCCTGAGCCCAATATCTCTTGGGCCCTTTCCTCTCCTGAGGGAACCAGAAAGGACTTCATGATGAATCTCCTTCCCTCCCACCACCAAGGTGGAAGTTGGAAGTACTGTACTCTGAAAGGAGCTATCTCAGCATCATCTGACAGCTGATGCCAGCCTCCTGGGTTGGTGGTGAGAGTCCGCCCAGTGACAATGGTCATCCTGGGAACAGACTTGGCATCCATGTCTTGTGTCTGCAGACAGCCTGACTAACCTTTCTGTCCCTCAGATACCTCAGCAAGGGCTGCCATCTACTTGGTGCGGAGGCTGAGAAAATCCTGTTGCTCCATGATGGTCCTCTTTGGCCGTCTTTTCACACTGAATCTGTTCCTGCTTCTGGCTGGCCTCTGCCTTAGCCAGCCTGCTCAACCCACCTTAGAGCCTATTCCAGGAGGTCCATGGGCAGAGTGGGGAGACGCCTCTGTAGCTAGGTCTGCAGAGCAGCCATCTAGGCCCACATTTTCACCAAGCACTATCGGCTGGATCTGTCTGCATTGGGGTCTGATGAGTTTGCAGAGTGTGCCCCAGCCTAAAGGCCATTTTCCAAGGTGTCACCTCAGTGGGGAGTACTCCTTCCTTCCTCTCCCCAACCAGCCCCACTGCTCCTGCCACCTCAGCCTACAAGTTTCCTGCTCCCTCCCTGGGCCATTTTCAGCACTAGGGAGCCAAGCCACAAACTTTCTTCCACTGCCAACTGGGTATATGTGCTTTGCTCCCCGCGAGAACCTCCTCCCAGATAGCCCCTGGGGCTGAGGAAATGGGTGAAGTGACTCGTGTAGCATAGGCTAAGCAGATTTATCTGACAGGTTTTGGCAGCCATTGGCTGGGAAGCCTAAAGGCGCAAAGTGTCTGAAAGGAGACACGATTGGTGCCAAATCTCTTGCTCCTGATATGTTCTTCGCTGCCTGCCTGATGTCAGCAGAAAGGGCCCGCACATGTGTCCGCTCTGGAGAGCCAAGCCACAGAACAACCATCCACTGGTGAAAAAGTTGAGACAGTTTTCTCCACAGGGTCACTGCATTCTGCATAGCCTTTCCTGTGATCACCTGATATGGCCACCACATTAGACCATGTTTTATTCATTTGCTCCACCCACTGGCTATTTCTCAACCAATTAACAGACTTATCTTTCCTAACTAAGTCCCCCTGTATGCCTAAAATACCAAGCTGGAGTGAGTTTTGCACCATGTCCTGATGGCAGGCAAGGTCTGACTTTGGTAGCCCATAAGGGAAAGCGATTGTCAAGCTCAGGATTGTGTTGGGGTAGTGAACTACCAAGACAGGCAATTCTTTTTCCATGGGTTGGACTTCGTGAGCTACACAGCAGGTGTGACTCTAGCCAGACTGATTTACAGTGCAGTCACCCAAAAAAGTAACTGACTGTTCTATCTGAAGAACAATCTGATAGTTATTCTCAGGATTGCAATTAAAACAAAGGAAAAAAAGAATTCATGAGAAGTTGCCTGATTAAATGTAATTAGTAACAATGATTCCTGGCTCATGAGCCACGTAACGGAGCTTCTTTCACAATTGTCCTTCATGAGAAGATCCTAACCTCCTTGATCTACCCTTTGATAAGTGGCTAGTTGTTTCTGGGTGCTTACCATTCTCAGGTGCCCATTCTGAGAGACGTCCAAGGGGTCTGACTTGCCGAAGAAGCTGAGCACGCGCCCCCTGAAAATCTGGCCATCTTAAGGAATCTCAGGTTGGGTAGCCAGCATCCCTAGTCACTTGTGAAAATGTTGGGCCCTTGATTCTTTTTGATGGAAATCCGGTCAATCAGCATGTGAAAATGATTCTTTCCTCCCATCTTTTAGCCAGAGCCTTGGTGCTGAGCTGATGGGACTGCAGGTGGATTACTGGATTGCAGCTCAGCCCATGGAGAAGAAGAGAGACCCGGAGAAGAAGGACACTTCCACTGCCAAAAACACACTCAAATGCACTTTCCGGTCTCTCCAGGTCAGCAGGTTACCCACGAGTGGGGAGACCACCAGCACTCCAACGATGTCAATGACAGTTGTGACAAAGGAAAAGAACAAAAAGGGTAAGAGTGGGAGGGGATTCGGCTTGCTGCTCTATTGGGTATTGCTGACACGTGAAAGGTGGACGGTTGTATTTGTCCTGGCTTTCCAGGTCTGCCCAGGTTCACTGTATGATGTCTTAACAGTAGAACTTGCTCCCCAGCCCTGAAATGCCATCGTTAGGCCTGCTGGCTTGTGGCCCTAGAGGCGACCTTATTTTTGTGTTATGGGGAGTGACTCCCCGTGTTGCTGTGTTTGGTGCCAGCAAATCACACCATGTTGGGTAGGTCTCCTGATCTGCCTTTGCCCCGTGAAATAAAAGCTGGTTGCTGTACCATGAGGTAAGCCAAGGCCACTAATAATTGAACACACAACAAATCATGAGCCACGCAATCTCACCGGTGGACTTTAGCTGGGTTTTTGGGGTGGGGTTATTTTGGTTTTTCCTTCTCAAACCCAAGCATTCATTAAAACAATATCTTGCCCTTTCTGCTGCAGTGCCATTTCTTAAAGAACTCCATGCACTGTTGCTCCATTAGCTTTAGACTTGCAGAAAACTTTTTCTAGGCATGGGTGCACAAATTTTGCCATAATGGATCTGTCTGTGGTCTAAAGATGGCTAATACTTGACATTTAAGATGAAGATATCCCTCATGCACCTAGCCAGCTATACAATTGTGATTATTGCTGGGCATCAGTTGAAGGCCTGAAGCACGAGATTGAATTGCTCTGTTCATTATTGCAGGTACAGATGTATTAATGGTCATACAACTATCCAGCCCTTGTGTTGGACTCAGTATCATTCTGTACCCTTGTTAGACGATTTCACAGCAGTGAGAACAGAGACTGTACCCTTACAGCTGGTTTACACAGGGAATCTATTGTGAAATAAGATACGGTGTGAATTTAAAGTGATGGATTAATTGGAAGTGGATTAAGTTAAAGGCACTCTTGGTGTACTATATGAGCATCCACCCAAGGAGCTAGTGCGGAATAGTCATTCAGGGCTGTTTCCTCATGTAGACAAGCCTTTGGATTTCTACTATCCGTTTGTTGGGAGAAAGGGTTGGCGGCGAAGGAGGATGGGGAAGTGGTGGTCATAGGGCACAGTATGGTTAGTGGAGAGAGGGTGAGAATGGGAAGGTGTGAGAAGAATGTGGAGAAGAGAAGGGTGGGGCTGGATAAGAGGGTACAGCAGTTGTGCTGCTAGTATTCAAGTGAGAGTATGTCACAGCACCTCGCCCCCCTCCATTGAGGGTGTTCTCACACCTGCAGGCTTCAGTCCAATCTTCTCTCATAAGGACCTGTTTGCTGGAAACCCACCACCAAAATCTGCTGCCTCTGGGTGGGAGGAGCAGCACAGACAACTTGCTACAGTTCTTGGGTCTTCTGATCCTCTCTTCTTTTTTTCCTTTGCAACTCCCCTGTCTCCCAGTACAATGCTACCAGCCAGCCCATGTTCCTTCCAGCTGTTACAAGGCCTCTGCCTACCTCCCCCCATTTCCCAGTTCAACGCAGAACATACCTATCCCCAACTCAGACAAGGACCAAGCAACCAGGAAGGTCCATGGAGGTGCCAGGTCTCCCAGCTCCCTCCTTCCTAGAGCAGAGAGCTCTGGCAGGCAGCTGGCCACCTGAGTGCCGAAGCCCTGGTGACATGGGCTCTTCCATCACTTCCCCTTGGACAAGGAGGGACCATAGCATGACTGTGCCTGTGAGAATGAGTCTGAGGAGGAGAGCAATATGCTCAGTCTCAGCAGGGTGAGTCAGAATAGCCTCAGTGCAACCTTCACACAAAACTTGGAGAATCCACTAGCAAATGTGAGGTTTCAGAGTAGCAGCCGTGTTAGTCTGTATCCGCAAAAAGAAGAACAGGAGTACTTGTGGCACCTTAGAGTAAGGTGCCACAAGTACTCCTGTTCTTCTTTTAGCAAATGTGAGAGGTTCACTGCTTCCCTAGAGGAACAACCAGGAGTGGGTCCATTCCTGAACAAGTGCTATGTTCTGAGTGTCCATTCACAAATGGAAGCCAGGGACAGCATGGGCTGGCTGGACTCGTGGCACTGAGGACTGACTTCCCAGACACGTCCCCCCATGCTGAGGATGGCACGCTATCAGATCAGGCATCACCACCTTGGTAGACTCTAAACAGCAAGGGGAGACAAGCAGGTACTGATGGAGGCCAGCCAACCCCTCCACTGGAAGGAAACCTGCCCAAGTGTGGGTACAGAGCCCCATGGCAGATTGGCTCAGCAGCAGAGATGGACCGACCCAAATGAAGAGTAGATTAAGGGGTGCTCAGCTGGGTGGTGTACCTCAGGGGAGTAGCAGTGGGAGAACTCTGGGTAGGCACCATCTCTTCCCTGAAGAAACGTGGTGCCAAGATGCCAAAGCATGCAGCCCTTCCCACCCCAGAGGGGGTTGGCAAGCAGGTCACAGCAGCCTGCAGAGAGCGGGTCCTGTTTCAAACAACAAAGAGACTCATCCTCTTCCATCTCTTCACTGGTTACTCAGGAGACAGCCACACAGGACAGAAATCAAATCCAGCCAAAAGTCAGAAGGAAGCGCACATCCCTTCTTCCTTCCCAGGTGGGTCCCTGTGTGCTGTTGACTTGCCCTTGGGGGGAGGGGAAGATGAGTCAAAACATGAGGAATCTGATGTGTGCCCCCCCCTCTGAGCATTTACCCCTATGCCTCAGAGGGCAGTTGCAGCCCTGGGACTCCAGGCGGAGAGGAAGAGACACAACCTGTGTCTGAGAGAGATTTCCCCCACCACTCCCTAAAGGGTATGACATGCCGCTGAACGTGGCTGCAGAAAAGATCATTCAGGCTGAAGCATCCCCATATGGGGCACTGTTGAGTAAACCACTCGCCATACCTCACAGATCATCATGGTGATTCACTTCTGACATGACTGCGGTAGAGGGAGGGGTCTCTTTCCCCTAGAGCTTGAAAGTAGAGGATGCCCTCGGACTGTCTTATTGGCACCCCAGGCTTCATGGGCCTCTATCTCTCACTCCAGGACAATCTGTTATGGTACGGGCACCAAGATGATTGGCCTCCAAATGTCATCAACAGTCTCTGATCACTCAATGTCCCTGCCACGTCTTTCACTACAGACATATCAGCAGGCACCATCAGACAGCCCAACGAGGGCAATGGCCGCTCATCTGTTTTCAGGCACAGCTGGGGCTACGTATGTGGTCTGGAGACTCTGGCTCAGCAGCTTCTGGGTTTAGCGGAGACCCACTGCTCCCTAAAAAAAAAAAATTGGGAATGCAGTTATGCACTGCAGAGGAAAAGATGCCCCACAACCTTTTCTCCAGCTCCAAAAATAATTTGGACAACGCACATAGTTGACCATGGATCCCCCCTTCACCAGTCCCCCAGAAGGGGCTCAGATTGACTGGAGGAAACCTCACTTTCAGCAGAGGATAAAAAGTATCACAGGATGTCAACGCCTCCTTGCCCTCTTCCAGGCAACACCAACATTGCCCAAGGAGGAACAGAGACAAGCAATTGGTGGCAGGCCCACCATCTTCCACACCAGGAGAGAACACACCTTACGAGATGAGTGGGTACTGAAAACTGTCCTTATACAACACCCCTTGGAACTGACCAACGTAACCTCAAGATTCACTCTGTCTCTGACGTAGAGGGACAGCAGATCCTTTCTCCGAAGAGTTCTCAGGGACAGTATTCCATCTTAATCATCCACAAGCAATCGGAGGGTCTGTGGGCAGTACTGGGCCAGAAATACTCTCATAGCATACAAAGCGCACAGTGTTCCACATGGTGACGTAGCACGCCATAGCAGCAGGAATGCTGCCCAGGAAATTCAGGGCAACAAGAGACCTGACCAAAGCACCTGCCAGAGATTCCTGTGCTGCATTTGTGAGGGAGCGAAGCTCTCCTTTGCTTCCAGTCTTCACAAAATATGGAGATCCTTGTGGGACAGCTCCAGGCCAGGGGGCATGCATTTGTTTCCCTAAAGATCCTGCCAGCTCACTTGGGAGAGTTATTTAGGTATGAGTAGAGGCATGATTCAGAAAGGTGGGAGGAGACCTGGTCATTCATACAGACAGCAAAAGACTGGGCAGTGCACAGTCTCCCCAGACTGTTAGGTTGATAGTCAGCTGCTTGGAGATCTTCCATAGGTGTGAGGGACTTAGATTCAGGATGGATCACTAGGACCCGTCACACTCAAACATGTTCGCCTTTCAGCAAAAACTAGACAAGGAGATCCTATTTCAGGAATCCTGATGTGAGCCTGCTGCAATGGTCCCCTGCCAAGAGTGCTACTGCGGATTGGGGTCTAGAGGCATCAGGGACTCCAATTGCACCAGGGAGGATGTGGATGTTGGAAATAATGGGAACAAGAACATGGCCCAGTGAAACTACTGACTCAGCTGAGGATTGATCACACATCTCCATCCTTCCAAGCTAAACCATACAGCAAAGATCAATGTGCAAGGGATACTGACAAAAGGCTATCGGTGCCTATTAAAAGGCTGTTAGCCTCAAGAATGCAGTCAGCCACGGCAGTATGCTCCCATACATACGGATCTACTTCAGCTACCGGTGTAAGGGGGGAGGAAGGGCTCAGTGTTTATCACTCTGATCATCTCAGCTCCCTGACCGAGTACAGGCTGCAGAGATGAGCTCTAACCCAGATTAATCAGACCTGCAGGTTTCAAAGAGTTGCCATCATCCTTGGGAAGCCTCCAGTTCACATGTGCCCCACCTAAAGTTTAAACTCCGTTCTCCAAGTATGACCAGAACCACCTTTCCAACCTAGGAGCTCCGTCTTCCCCCGTTCCTTGTAAGGCTGTAAACACAGGAATATTTCAAAAAGGAGAAGGATTGGTGGGGAGCCTAACAATGTTTGAAGTTTAGGTGTTTGGGGGGGGGGGGGAGGAGGGCAAATACTGGAAAGCCAGGAAATTACACTTTCTGGGAAACTTGTTACCAGTGAGAGGCACTTCTAGAATTCCTTTTCCTTCAGGAATCTTCTACAACAGCTCCCCACTGGCCCCATGCATGGACCTGAAAAAATTCTCCAAGAGCTGGGGAGATAGCAACTGCCATATTGCAATGGACTGTGATCACATCAAATCTCCAGCGCTTAGTTGAATTGTGCTATCAGTACTTGGTTTGAAAATGGGCTGTGTTGCAGCAAATGGCTTTGGCTATTCAATAGCTGGTAACTTTTTCTCTCGAGGGGATCTACTCTTGCAATGAACTCTGCAGTGTTGGGCCAGAGTTCATGCTGAGCAGATGCCACATCACTCAGACTGGGGTGTCAGTGGTGCAGGAAGTGCCATCCTCCAGATCAGACATGAACTACAAGGTCTGTCCAAGTTTTCAGTGCCTTGTGACATGGTATGTTCTGTCTGGGGACCTGAGGCTGTGCTAAGATGGCACCTAATAAGCTCCTATATGGAGTTTGCCCAGGCTGGATTCAAGGGTGTTCATCCCCAGTTTGGAGCAATTCTCCTGGAGCCACCTTCTCCCTTTCAGATTGTTAATTCAGATGGATCCTGAGACCTTGGTACCTTTTTCGGAAGGGCTTCCTAACCTTTCCCCTCCCCGGCCAGTTCCTTGCTTTGCAGGAGCTCCCTTATCTCAGGTGTCCCTTTGAGCAGCTGTTGACCTGGTGTTTATGTAGTGAATATGCACTAGTTGCCACATTCAACTGGAAGTGAGGATAACATCTGGGGCTTTCTGCTCTAGAAACTTTTTGCAATAAGCAAGAATCTCCATGGGAGCATAGTAGATTTTATATCATTTGAGCCAACCACTGAAGCTCGCAGTGCACAAGGGTGGAGCTTTATCTTAATAGACTGGATATTTTCCCAGCAGGGGAATTGCCCCAGGGGGATGAAGGGGAGGTTTATAGCAATGAAGACTTTCAGAGGCAATATGAATTGCTTTGGGGCTCTAATAATGCCCAATTAATAGGGCCCAGTAAGGTGGCGATGCTTGGTAAGTAATTCTGTGAACTGGAAATGTTAATAAGCATGGGCAGGGGGAGTACCTGGCCAGCCAAACTCCTGGCAAAGAGGAAATTTAGGCTTCAGTGTATTTTTCCCTAATTGTTTCAGGATAACTTCTTGTGGCTGGTAGAAATTAAGCATGCTTGGTTTGGTTTTCTTCTAGTGATGTTTTTGCCCAAGAAAACAAAAGACAAGGAGATTGAGTCTAAGAGTCAATGCATTGAAGGAATTAGTAGATTGATTTGCACAGCAAAACATCAGCAGAATATGCTGCGGGGTAAGTGCTGAATTATCGCATCATTTCTGATAGTAATGGGGAGCATTTTATTGCTAATTATGGCTCCAGTGCCTGTAAGACAGCCATCTCAGTGCTTGATCAGGACGTGCTAGTCTGTGACACAAAGCAGACTTGAACTTCATGGATTTGGCTGCAGGAGGATTCTGCCATCATGGGGAAAGCTACAGATGGCATAGAGCCAGCCAGCCACTAAACCTTAGGTTCTCAATCTGGGAGTTACAAACAGGTCTCGGGGGCACAACAACCCTCTTTTTCCTTTGTAGCTAGGTGGGAGTGGAGTCCCAGAAGTTTTATGTTGTAACATGGGTTCACTGTTGGGAAAAGGTTGAGAAACACTGTTCTAAACTCTTCTGGGTTATAGGTGTTGATTATGGAACAAACCAGTGGTCCATCTTGTTTGCTCTGGTTGTGGCCTCTACCTGATGCTTGAGAGGAAGAGGAGGATTTCTCCATAATGCATGCAGCCAGTGGACAATAATTTCCCACTGTTGAGAGTGGGCAGGGAGATGACTGGCATCTTTCCCATCCCAGCTGCTGAGCCATTTTCATTTGATCTTTAGGGCAGCAGAAGAATTGACTGGGCCTTCTTCCTAATTTTTCTACTATCTAGCTGTCAGTGCAGCATCTGTTTCCTGTACTGACTGAGGAAGGATGATGTGATGGCATAGAATTCAGGCATAGGGATTCTCGAGGGTGACTGTCTTGCTGGGTGCTTTTTGACATGCTTCCTTGTTCTATTCTTCCCCTGCAGTCCTAATTGATGGCGTAGAGTGGAACGATGTGAAGTTCTTTCAGCTGGCAGCACAGTGGTCCTCCCATGTCAAGCACTTTCCCATCTGCATATTCGGACACTCCAAACCTAACTTCTAACCACTTTCAGCGGTGCGGCTTTCTGCCTGTATGGAGACTGCACACGCAGGAACCAGGAATCTGAGTGCCAACTCTGACTCAAGTCTGCTTGCTCTCTCCTGCAGATTACTTACAGATGCGTCTGGATTACTTCTGAATAACTTTTTTCTATTAATTCTTAAGTTTACTACAAGGGAAGGAAATCCATTGAACAAAACAAAAAACAGTCTTAAGCAGAAATGTACCAATAACATGGAAATTACCGGGAGAACCTCCAGAAGTGGGGTGACCTGCCGGAGAACTTAAGAGCAGATAGCTGGATAACTGCACTGCTTATTAACCTGAAACCTCCTGGGTGTGTTTGTGGCTGGGTGTTCTGGATTGGGCTTGAATGGTTTTTGAGGGGAGAGTGGGAGGTACTGAGAGAATGAATTGTTTTAAAATGTTTAACTCTGTGCCGCCCCCCTCCCCGACTTCACATGAAGAAAGTAGAGCCTGGTTCATCACCAGATAGTTCAGGTACCAAGAATGTGAAGTACATTGCGCTGTCTGCCAAAAACCAAGCTAATAACTGAGGGAAACCCCAGGATTCTCCACAGGTGAAGAAACGCCAGAGGGTCACTGTTTTAAGGCCAGCTACTGAAATGGGCAGGCATGTTCACTCTCGTGCCTGATTCAGGTTGGGCAGAGACTGAAATACAAAGTATGAAATGTCTGTTTGAGGAATCCCATTGCTCCAAGTCCATCCCAATAACCCAACCAAGTCAGTCACAACACCCCCTGCAGCCCGGAGCTGGATTTGAAGGACACCAGTTCAGTGGGGTTGTTGCTATTTAGATTTTCACACAGATTATGGACATCAATAAAACCTTGCCCGGCCTCTCAAGAGAATGGATTTTTACAGGTGCAGATTTTTTTTAATGCTTTTAAAAAAGATTAAGTTCTAAAAAAGATAACAGGAAAGATGAGCTGCTGTCTAATGAGTCAGGCATTAATGTACTGGCTAGTTCCTGTGCCCCTTGGGCCTATACACATGAGCAGCTGCATTTTACACCAGCTACGTTCACACCCACACAGCAAAAGCACATGTGCATGTGAAAGCACATACAATACCAGCTCGCAGCAAACGCGCTACCTGCATACATCATCCTGAATGTGCTCTCTCTTCTAGGCAGTGTGTACAGGGTTCCCCCCTCACATGCCAAATGGGAATCCCTTGTTTGGGGGCCCCCTCCAGCCATGTGAGCTGCTGCTGCTGTTTCTGAGGCAGGAGGCCATGTAGCAAAGCCAGCTCTGAGAGCAGAGGCAGAGAATTTCAGCTTGTCTGGACTGCGTTGGAATGCCTCATGCACGGATTGTGTCATCTGAGGGTTCTCTCAGCTATTGTATTTCTTTGACTCCAGCAGTGAACCTGTGTTGCACAGTGCACCGTTAGCCAGCTGGGCCACGTGCCGGCTTAGGATCCATCCTCCAAGGGGCCTGCCATGGAAAATGAGGGTAGAGGAGTCACTCAGTGCCCCTGTACTTCCTGTGGGCTTCTCTCCATGGGAAAGAAGCTACTCCAGCAGGATACAAGCTTGCAGCTAGCAGAACCCACCATTCAGGGATTAAGGATTTACTGTGCAAAACCAACCAGTGCCTGTGTGAAATGCACTGGCCACTATAGCCCTGACCCTGAGCACTACTGCAGCTCATGAGTGGGAAACTGTAAGCTATGAATGTTCTCTCTTCCCCCTCCCCTAAAATATCACAGTGCCAGCCCATTCCCAGGGTATACTAAAGCCAGGGCTGGCTCTAGGCACTAGCCCAGCAAGCAGGTGCTTGGGGCGGCCATGGGGAAGGGGCGGCATGTTGGGCTGTTCGGTGGTGGGTCCCTCTCGGAGGGAAGCACCTGCCGCCGAATTCCTGCCGAAGAAGAAAGCAGCGCGGTGGAACTGCCGCTGGAGTGCCGCCGATCGCAATTGCGATTGCAGCTTTTTTTTTTTCTTTCTGCCGCTTGGGGTGGCAAAAACCCTGGAGCCGGTCCTGACTAAAGCAGCCTGAAGGTTGCTCTGATTTACAATGTCAATAGCCCTACAGGGCTGCGTCAGCACCTAGGGATCTCTGGAGCCAAAGGAGGCTTAGCTACAGCTTTCCCCCTGGCTCCCACTCATTAGTAGCTGGGTCTGTGGGTGGCCTAGGAGCTACTGCAGCAACTCTCCTTGCTGGGAATCCTGCCCTGGCTTTAGGACGGAGCTTTGCTCTGCTGAAGGGGCATCGAGGTGCTCTAACTGGAGAAACAAGGCTCTGATCCTTCTCACCACAGGCACAACTCCCTGGAGTTGAATGAAGCCCTCTTGTACCAGGCATGCTGCACACTACACTTCTGGCAGCTGCATGTGGACTGAAATTCCCAGGGGTGGAGCCTTTGCCCAGAAATCCTCCCCCATCAACCCTGCAAGGAATCACACTACAGCAAAGCCTAACAGCTTTAGTTATCTGTAACCCTGCTCTACTCCTCCAGGGGGTCCCAGGGCTGGATCTGTGGGGCTCTCCTGGCGATACAGCTCCAGGGAGGAGCCTCCATGCAGATGTTCCAAACCCAGTGGCTGAGGAGCTAGAGCTTGTTTGCTGTGCAGAGGAGCCAACACCCCACCTTGGAATGAGCAGGGTGCAGCTGCATAAGGGGAGCCTCCTGGGGGTTCCAGTCTCATGGGCAGGCGTTTGCACTGCTCAGGCCCATTTTCAGAGACCCCCAGAGTGGCTCCTTCTCCCGCCCTCTCAAAGAGACAGCAATATGTTAAGCATTTTTCAGAGTCCAAATGTTCTGGGATAGTGACTGACTGAATGAAGATTTGCAAATGGCTGTGGAGCCTGTTCCACCTTGTGTGTGGGTCATGCCCTGGGAAGGCGTGTCCTGCAGGAGGGGTTTCATTGACTTGGGCAGGACTTCAGTGGGCACTGGGTGTGTGTTCAGCTAATGGCCGTGCTGAAGGAATGAGGGTGATTGTGGCCCTAAAGAGAACAGTGCCTCTCTCTTCCCCTTCACAGTAAAGAGGAGTATCTGCAGAGCAAACAGTACATGCACCTTCCCCTCACTGCTCAGGCTACTGGTTTAGATGCATGTTTAATAAGAAAGGAACTTTCTAGTGTGATTTCAGCCATGTCCAGGAATCAACTCTCATCAACTCTCATCAGACTCGCAGGGTCCTCAGCAGCCCAGCAATGCACTCCTGTGAGGAGTCGGGCAGGTCAGCGCACAGATCCACACATGAATGCTGATGCAGCTGGTGGGGGGTTACTGTAAACTATTCACTTTTTTATGGCAGCCCTGAGGAGAGAGTAGGTTTCCCTTTAACGCTTTGTAACAGGGGCAGAAAGAATCTCTAGCTTCAGCATAGTGGCGGCTGGCGCTTAGGATCTTGCAAGGAGGCTTGCACCTTGCTCTGGGGTAGCGCAGCATTGCCTGGCAGCCACAGCTTAGGAATGAGCACACGAGCACATCAGTGCTCTTTATTGAAGCTGTTGCCTCAAGACAAGCCTTTTAATGAAGTCAGCAGTTCAGGTTCTTCCTTAAATCCCTCTTCCCTGTGCAAGTAGAGTGACTGAAATCCAGTCTGTTTTCAGTCCCACAGCCTATTCTACACCAGCACTGACAGAGATCCTTGCCTGACTGACGTTCATGGCCCCTGCAGCGCTGGAGAAGGCTTGGACTGGCTATCCGCAATAACTTTGTTTACCAGGGGCAATGAAGGATTTGACGCTTTGCTCCTCTTTGTATTTCAACCTACTGTAGAGAGACAAACTGTAGCCAGTATGGGACTTCATGGCTCCTGCTTATCAAATGTATGTTGCCCCCTTTCTTCTTACCATGTGCAACGTTTCATGTGGGTTAGTTCTTTATTTTAATTACATTTTATGAAATCTAATTCACCAGGAAACTTTCTGCCTGCTTGGTACCCAAGCACTTGCAGACAGCAGAGTTTGTTTCCTCTGGCAAGCTGCTATTTGGCAGCACAGCCATCTGCAGTGGGCTCTCTGCGGTAGCAATGCTTCCAAGGAAACTCTCCTTGAATCTTCAGGCTGGAGTTTGCCAGGTGGCAGGACTGCACTGATCTTAGGAAAGCTTAATTTTTGGTGGTTCATCATGGGGCTGCCCTGACTCCTAGCCAACAGTTGGAGTTAGATTCCCTGAGCTTTTCCTGGGAATGTTTGTTAATGTTTTATACAGTGGTTACTTTCTCTGAGCTTCTTCACACAACTAACTTTGTCTCTGACCACTGGGAAAACATTCTGGAAGTCTGAGAGCCGAAGCTCTGCCATAACTGAGTATTACAGCAATTGAGCTGTGCAGACAATGGGCTGCTTCATAGGAAATGGTTTTGATAAAGCAGTGGCAGGAGCCTCCTCCCAGGGCGAGCTGAGCTGAGTTCGGGTCTCCCACTTGGTGCTCTCCAACCAACCACCAATTCCAGGGTTCACAGGAAGTCACTCTGAAGAACTGGTCTGTGTGCCAGCTTGCTATGACTATACCATTGTACACTCTGGGGCAGAGCTGACCAGTGGGGAGAGGTGCCAGTTCTTGTGCCTGAAAAGGGGCCATCAGGATATTGGGGGGCTGCTTAATTGCCTTTGCTGTGATGAGTGCAGAAGACTGACCCTAACGGAGCAAGAAACCCAGCACAGCCCCAGTTTTAAAACTCTTTATGGAATAATGAAAAGAGACCTCCACGGGCCTCCACCAGAGTGTGACTCAAAGAAGGAAACTCATTTGCTTTATCTCATTCACCTGAATCACCCTGCTTTAACTGGAAATCTAGATGTTGCTTTTACTTCGGCCCCTGGATTTCTAGCAGTGAACAGGCGGGCGGGGGGACAGAGCTGACTGCCTAGTTTTTGGCTGGTTGCATGCCACCTCGTCACCTGTAACACCCCCCCCCCTTCCCTGCAGGAGGCCAGGAGACTGCAGCAATCCCAACGCAGGTGGGAATGTCCTGTAGTAGCAGATCCGTTTGATTCCCATTACACACTGATCCAGGCCCCGATACTGACTGACTGCTCCTTGGAGCCCCAAACTGCGACTCCAGCACTTTCCTATTGGCAAAGCTGCTGTTCCCCTGGTGTTCTCTTGGGAAACTGGCCCCAGCCCTTCCTTGGAGAAGGGATCTAAGGAGGCATCCTTAGTATGCTGGCCAAGAACTGGAGCTCTAGTTCTACACTTCCATGGCTAAATGAAATGCAGAAGTCCACCATGGCAAGCCAGGGAATATCCTTACCTGTATTGAATGCTTGCTGGGCTTTCATTTGTTTTTCTTTGCCCTAAAGAAAACAGCAGCTGGAGCAGCAGTATTAACTTAACCTCTGGCTTTCCATTAATTTCACCTGCAGTTATCAATTGCATATAATCAATCAAATTTTTCTGAACAACCCAACAATAACCCCATTGAGCTGTTTATATCTCAAATTTAAGTATAAAATTCCTCTGTTACCTTAGTTTGAGGATACTTATCAACCTCCCCTTGGCTTCATTTGCTGCTTTAATTAGCAAGCCTTGTTGTCATGTCCTAGAGAGGATATCTGAGGGTGGAGTAGTAGAATGGGAAGTTTTTGTGGTTTCATATAGAATCGCCATACCCACCTGTAGGCCGTTGACCCAGCTAAAAACCAAACTGACCAGCATTGTTCCATTAATGTCACTAAAACACTCTTATTGGCATGGTATGTCCTGTTAGTCTTTGGCTAGCTATCGTTACCATCTTGGATCAGTCTGGCCAGGTGTTTAGTACCAAGAAAACATTCTAAGAATTGTTCATTTTGAGGGTTCAAGAAATAGTACCAGATGCCTTGAACCCTTGTAAGCAAAACATCTTGGTGAGAATAGAGAGCCTTTTATTCTTTCCCTGTAGTTTGAA